GAGCAGGCAGCAACATACATTCAATAAAAAGATTTGAAGGAACAGGAGTAAAAGATGACATCAAGAAAATATGTGCCAGGAAGAGAAGACGGGTTGACTACATGGTACAGGGGGGAGGATGACAGGTAGATAGCCCAAGTGTTCCACTAGGACCCTCATGATGTCAGAAGAAATGCCTCTGCATGTTGGATGGCTCTCCTGTGGTGAACTTATGGGAGGGCACGGACAGGTGTCATCTAGGATGAGCAGAAAGCATGAGTTGTGATTTGCATCATTGGAGAAGACTTCTGAATCAATGAGAACGCAGAACCATTTGAGTATTTCAGAGAGAAACAGAGGAAGAGAGAAGTAGAGAAAGAGAAAAAAGGAGAATAGAAGAAAAAACAGAAACTATTGGAATTTCATGAATCAGGTTGATCAGTTTGGGAAAAAAATCATCAAAAGTATATTTTATTGGGGCAGCTAGATGGTGCAGTGGGTAAAGCTCCAGCCTTGGAGTCAGGAGGACCTAAGTTCAAATCCAGCCTCAGACACTTGACATTTACTAGCTGTGTGACCCTGGGCAAGTCACTGGCTTTCTTAGAAGTTATTCCAAGAATGAATGAAATCCTGAATTAAAAATATCTCCCTTAATATCACATTGTTAAATATGAACGCTGTCCCAAACCACAACATGTGACAACTAGTCTAGCTGAACAAACGAGTTGAAAAGAGGTCATTGAGTATCTATCCAAACTAGTACCATGGCTTCAGAAAGTCATTTATTATTATTACTATCATCATCATTATTATGTCTGATTATTCATTATGACACAGATTTGGATAGCTCATTGATGAAATCACATCTCCTATATTTAGATTCTTATAATACAGTTAGCTTATGAAGTGGATGATTAGACTCTATTTCCTTGAACTATTACTATAAGCATACAATAACCAATTCTATAGGCCACTGTCTAATTACAAGTCCTACCATTATAAATATGTCCTTCCACAGTACTTTATTTCTTAGCTATAAACTGATACAACACCACCACCACCACCACCCCCCCATTTTCAGCAGCAGCAGCAACAACCACAAATATATATTAAGCATTCAGTATGTGCCCGGGCACTGTGCAAAGTGGTAGTGATACAAAGGAAAAACACAACATTGCAGGAGATCCAGTGGACAATGGAAAGATGCATAGCAGGCATAAATGGACTGTAGCACATGATCACCATTAACTTGTATGAAATAAAAGACATCACTGACAAACTTCAAATCCATCACTACAACTGGAAGTTAAGCTCAAAGGGCACATCGTATCCTAAGGCCACAGTCTCAAAGCCAGGAAGATCTGGGTTCAAGTATCAGCTCTGACAAATACTGGCTGCATGATCCTGGGTAAGTCCCTTACCCTCTCAGTGCTATAGACAACTCTCTAAGACTATAAATTGTAGAGCAACTATACCAACCTGCAGTGGTCAAGTGAGTTTATTTATCCTGGAGATCTCATTATCAATGAAATCAGAGGTATAGTTCTGATCCATCTTTCCAACACAGGTTAGTAATTTTGTTGGAATTACTGTTATTTTTATAAAAGCAACCTGTCACAAAGGCAGCAAATTTACCCACTGTTACTGCGAGATGCATACAAGGAAGCTATCTGAACCCTATTTACCTTCCTAAGTATATGTTATTTTAAAAAACATACAAATCAAACAAACAAAAACAGGCTGATACCAGATTAGGAGTAAGAGGAAAAAAAAGGTACTCAGGTCCACACACCCATAGTATTAAAGTTAATGCATTGTTCAGTTGAGGTTCCTGACAAGTTTAAGGAGAAAAACTTGGCTGAATACCTTTTTCATTTTCATTTGGTAAACTACAAAACTAACCTTATAAAATGTGCTTCCAAATGTTTAAATGGTGATGCACAATTTTTGACAGCCATCAGGTAATTAATTGGTAATTAATATCAGACGCACTTTACCAGATCTTTCCAAGGGACAATAATAGGTAACCATAGGCACACACCAACACTTACACACACCTTAGAAGTATAGCAGTGAGTATGATTTATAAACTGGCTATTTCCATTTTTGCCACTGGAAACACTAAGGCCCAAAGGAGATGTTATTTATCTAAAATGATGCTGATATAAACCAATGGTTGAATTAGAAATAGAACTTCATTTTTTTGATTCCTAGTCCTGTACTTTAGTAACTATATCTCCCTTTGATATCAAGTTTGCTACAAATATCAATATATTTACGTCTTTGGCCAGATGGAAATATCTAGACACTAAAAGTTGTATTGGATTTATATAGATTAGGCATACCAATAAAAAGAATAAAAATAAAAACTTAAAAAAACTGTTGCATTTTCAGAAATATGTTGGCTTTAGACTGGCTGAAATATTATAGCATTTGAATTTAGCCTAATAACTCTTAGGTTGTTGGCTAATTGAATTAGCTACTTCAATTGGAATAATCCTGCAAAATGTCTGTAAGAAATACTCTTACCATGTGCATGTGTGGTTGTGAAACATAACATCATCTCAGCTTCAAAATCATAGGTGATCCAGAAGAACACAGAAAGATGTACAGTGGACACAAACAGGTTGTAGCATATGATCGACAATGACTTGTGTGCAATAAGTGGCATAAAAAAAATCATTAAGGACTTTCATAACTAGAATGGAAGATGGGTCAGTCACCTAACAAGAAAGAGGAATAGCTTGATAGACAATCTATGCACTGCATTGGCAGTCACAAAATAATCTAAAGAAATCTAGGCAGGTCAACAGCACGATAGCATGAGGTCTTCTAGCAAAGATTTATGCAACGACACAGAAAAATTTCTCACAGGATGAGAAGGAATGGATGGGTTGCCAGGTCTACTGACGAAAGGAGTAGACATGTCAGCGAAATCAAAAGTCCATCAGTGTTTTATGATGTGTGTATCAGTAACGTGAACATATGTTTATATGTCTGTATGTGTATATATGATTATGTATATAGATACATGTATGTGTACATCTGCAAACATAATGTGTATTCTAGGGGAAAAGGAAAACATCTATGTCAAATCAAATAAATTAAGCTAATGAGTGGAATTATTTTCTATCATTGTGACAACCACAAGCAAGACACAATGGTTTAAGGCGAAAAAAAGTTACCTTTCCTAATTAACAGATTTCTGAGATGGAAACCATGGAAACAAGTGGGGAAAATTCCATAGGATGGAAAATACAGAGATTATAAATGGCATACCATGAAGTTGGGAAGCACTGCCTTGGATGTATCAGAATGGAACCATAGATGACTTTCATCTCCAAACTGTTTTTAAAAAAATGGTCTTAATCCATTATAAAAAGTGACAAAGATTAGTGACAGACAAGACCTACAGGTCCATCTGTCCATCTGGAAAATGTTTTTTGCAATGCGATTCAGAACTACATGGGACAGAATGTTCTTTCAGATATATAAACTTCCCCTTCACTTTGTTATGATAAGCTAACTGTTTGACTACCCAAAACTGCCCTTTTTATAAAAGAGAAAACTATGACATACACCCTGGCTAAGAGGAACAATACCATCTAACTGATTTGTTGGTCTCATTTCCTTCCATTTCTCATGACAGCATGCAATTTTTCCATTTTATAATGTATCCAAGTTATAAATGTACACAATAACAGTTCAAAACCTGGCAACTCATTGCTTTCATTCAGTAACAAATACATTGGAGCCTCATGAGAATACCATCGTCTGAGTCTCAACTACAGACCATGTTATAGATGAAACAATACCAAACCAAAATGCTAGACTCCTTTTCCTCCTCCTCCTCCATAACTATTACACAAACAGGCCCTGAAACATTTGAGGCAATAGGAGACTAAAAAGACCTACCTCACAAGCTATGTTATTGAGAACAAAGTAGTTCCCTTTTATTAATTTGAAGATCTTCTAATTCAACAAGGGATTCCAACAATACTATCAAAGGCCTGGAAGACTCTATATAAAATACTCCGTTCAACAACTGTATACACTTTCTCCAAATAAACCCTCCAAATTTGTGGGTGGGTATCCCCACTTGCTGAAGATGAGTTGCTTATATTGTGGAGGGCTAATTATTAAAAATGTAGAGGAAATTACAAGCCCTGTTCAGTTCTCTAGAGGTATCTTTATTGCCCAAGCAATACATGCTAGAAGGTTTTACAAAAAAAGATGAAAACTATAAATTTCTGCTCTGGAGCCTCAAATTTCTAGTTATGACAATGAGTTATTACATTCTACACTTCTGGTTACAAAATCCCCTTGCATTATATGGAACCACAGTGTACTGAATTCTGGGCTATGGCAGGTGTGACAATGAAGATTTGGAATAGAACTATAGGTAATGTGCTTTTACAACATAAAATGCTAATGTCATGGGACAAGAATAATAATGATGTTTTATGAGGCTTTCATTGTATTTAACATATTTCTAGAAACACGATTTAGTCCTTCTCTTGAAATTTGTGATTTCTATCTGAATTTGTGCAATGTGTCATACTTTAATGGGTTTATAATGTGTTATTGTTATAATAAAATGAGAATGTCAACCATAGGATTTTGGAAAATCTGATTTTAATCAGCTCTATACTACTTTTCGGCATGCAGTTATTCTCAAAACAGAAGGATTGTTGTCTCATTTCTCCCCATTTCTGGAATGACCTCTGGGCTGCAGATATAACTTACTCTCTTCTCATTTTAAGAACTCTTCTGTCTGTGAGAGTTCCTGATTATTGGGATGTTCTTTGAACTAGCTATCACACAAAATAAACTGAAGTTCCATAATAAATATTGACAGCCCTTGCTCTGAAGTATCTCTCCCTCTCTAAGACATCTCTTATCCTAATGTACCAAAAAGAAAGAATGGGTAGCAATGTTAGTATTCATCAGTGTTTCTAAAAACTGAGGTTGTTGCTTCCCAGAAATAGAACAATGAAACCAATAGTATCATGGTTACTTACCTGAGTGAGTGATTCCTGGTAAGGTCAGGTTGACGCTCCTGTAGAATTTCAAAGATATTGGGCTGACGCAGAAATGCAACAATCTTGTCATTGTAGGCTGTGTTAATGGAAAAGGAGAATATTTTTAAGAACAATCTGCAATTTCTGCTGTACTAACAATGATAACAAAGACCCACACACAAAAAAAATTTTAAGACACTTGGATATTTTGGTTATACTTTTAGTTAATGTTATTATTATGACTTTAATTAGCACTTACTTTATGGCTGGGCAGCTAGGTGGCGCAGTGGACAGAGCAGTGGGCTAGAAATCAGGAAGACTTTTCTTCATGAGTTCAGCCTCAGACACTTACTAGTTGTATGACCCTAGGCAAGTTATTTAACCCTGTTTGCCTCAGTTTCTCAGTTGTAAAATGAGGTGGAGAAGGAAATGGCAAACCATTTCAGTACCTTTGCCAAGGAAAGCCCAAATGAGGTCATGAAGATTCACACAACTAAAACGACTGAACGACAACAGCAAAAATTACTTTGTGGTTAACCTATTACCATATGTCACATCTGGCCTCATTAAGCATTTTTACTAGACTAATCTAATGGAATCACAGCTATCATCAAGTGGCAAGTTAAGAATGACGCTAAGACACTTTGCACACTCCATCAGACAATTCCCAACAGACAATAGATACACAGAAGATGAGTGACAGCCAAATAGTGGCAATTACAAAAAATTTTGCATAAAATGTTAAGAAGACTATGACACAAGGAACATAAAGAAAATAAGCTATAGTTATTAACTTTTTAGAAGCTAAGAATAGAAATCCCAAACTAGCACTCAGCATTCAGAAAACAGAGAGGTTCTTTTGGGGTTTGAAATGTTAGGTGGCTTATGGGACAAGTGCTAGAGGCAGACTCAAGAGTAAGTTCTATAAGTAAGAATGATGGACACAAGGAAGGGGACAAATCATTCCTATAACAAATATACAAATGGCAGTAGGCCACAGATGGGTCTTTTCCAATACATCTGCAAAGAAAGCTACAAAAACCACCCCACAATTAGCAGCAGTAGCTGCAGATTTTAGAACACATATAGATATACATGTTGGTTGATTTTGGCTAACAATATGTGCAGCAAGAATTAGAAAATCCATGAATCAGAATCCTTTTTATTCTTCCTCTTTTGTTTGTTTTGTGTAAAACATTCTGTTGTGATCAAAGCTATTAGTGACTGTGAGATAATATAAATGGATCATTGAGTCACTGAAAATTTATTGTAATATATTGTGTGGGATTCAGACATAATCTTATTTTTTTCACTATACCATAATTTGATTTTCCCAAATTGTTAATTAATAATTAATTTTTCCTCCAGTGTTTTGTTATATTAAATCTACCAATTCGCATTCCTCGGTGTCTGCTTTAGGATTGTGGACTCAACTCCAGGGATCTTTTTTCTATTGTTTCTTCCTTAGTACCAGACAGTTTTATTTATTGCTAGTTAACAATATAATTAGATATCTGGCAGCCCAGTACTTCTTAATTTTTCTCCTTATAACTTATCTTGATATTCTTGGCAATTTGGATTTATTTAATTTTATGAAGTTCTCCACTTATGAAGCACTGTGAGTGGCACCACATTAAAGCTATAAAACTGTTCGGATAATATTGAGAATTTCATTATATTGCCTTGACCTAGCCATGAACATAGAGGAGAAACTACATTCTAAAACATGTAAAATTTAAAGAAGTACACTTATAAACAATAAGCAAAATTTTAAAATATTAAACAAGGACAAATTATAAAAAAGGCTTATATGGAGGCCAAAATGTGCCCGGTTTAAAGAAAAAAATCATTAAAAATAGATTTGTTTCATCTAGCCCCAGAGTACAGAAATAGGACCAATGAGTTGAAGTTCCAAAGAAGTAAATGTAGCCTGGAACTAAGAAAGAACTTAACAATTAGAGATATAAAAAATGGAATTCATTGACTTAAGAGGTTGCATATTATATTCCTCTCTCCTCTCCACATCCATCCTCCACTGGAGGTATTCAAGCAAAAACTGAACAAATGACCAATTATCAGGTATGTTGGGGCAGAGATTCTTTTCCATGTATGGGTTAGAGCAGGTGATCTCTGAGGCTCTTTCCATCTCTGATATTCCATGATATCGTAAAAGTATATTTAAATGGTTCTAAGCATTTTTAAATGTTAAGTCATGGTTTTCTCATCAGGGATTCAGGTTCAGCCAATATTTTCATGTTCTATAAATGATACATAAGATCTTAAACCAAATAATAACTATCTATTACAATAGAAGTATACACAAAACCCTGCTGAAGACATTTGCTAGACTTTAACATAACACATTATTTTTCTCTTTCTCCTCCTTCTTACTCTTCTCTTCCTCCTTCTCTTTCTATCTTCTTCTTTTCTTCCTTCTCCTCCTCTTTCATCATCATCATTATCCTCTGTGGTTTCATTGTTTAGGAAAATTCTGGTGTGGAAACTCCTTCTACTTGTGGAGATCGGTCAATGTTTATCAATTAAAATGCCTTAGAGAGCTGCCTGGGATTCTAAGAAGTCAAGTGACTTTCCCAGCATCACACAGCCAGTACCTGACAAGAGCAGGACTTGGACCAAGGTCTTCTTGACTCTGAAGCTGGCTCCCTATTGACTTTACCATTCTGTCTTTATAGTCTGTTACTCAGTACACGTACATTGAAAACAAGCACATAAATAATTATATAAAATATTCAAAATGGCCAATATTATTGAGTAAATCATTGTATATAAAATGAAAAGTATTCTTAAACTGCTAATATATAATCCCATTTTCAATATGGAGTTTCTTAAATCCATGATTTTTACATTATTTCCTAAGAATGAATCCAGTTTAAAAAAATTCAATAGCTTTGTCCATACAGATTATATTTAATCTGAGTGGTCTGGCAATTTTAATGATACATGGTTTGATATTTTGCCCCAAGGAAATGTCTATTTATTTTATCTTAGCATATTGTTTCTGGAGAAATAAATATTATATATTTTATATGCCTAGTATAGGACTTCAGCACACAAGTAAGGACAGTAATAAATCTTAAAGAATGATAGTTGGTCTGATTGCATGAGAACCAGGAACAGAAAAGGCTGACTTATGCAAGAGGAATTATCTCATCTAGGATACCATTGCTTTATTTATCTTTTTCCTCACTTGCATTCATAAGACAAAAAATTTTAAAGAATCAACTCTATTCCTGACAGTGCTATAAAGCAGATAAAAGATAAACTAAAAAGAAAAAGAATACTGCATTTAAAATCTAGCAAAGCTTAAAGGAATCAAGAATACAATAGAAAACAATAAAAACAAGAATTGAAAAAATTTTAAGTTTTTCTCTGCTTAGATTTTTTATATCAGACAACATGATTAATAAGAGAATGTCTTTTAATTAAACAAAATTTTAATATCTACAAAGATATTATAAATCTGTTAATATTTCACATAAGGGAAAATTCCCATTATCATTTGGCAATAGAATCATGAGATCATAGAATTTTAAAATTAGAAGGAACCTTAGAGATTATCTAGTTTAACCAACATTTTATAGATGAGGAAACTGTGGTGACAGAGATTAAGTGACATAACCCAACTTAATGACAGCGGAAAGACAAAATGCAGTCTCCTGACTAGCATTCTTTCCATTATACCACTTTTTTTCCAGTATTGGGGGGACTATTTCTACTTTGCTTAAGTAAGCAGTAACACTGAGGTGCCACTTTTCTCAAGTCTTTCAAAATAGAGTATCATTGTTTTCCCCATTTATTTATTATGCCAATGCAAAGTCACGTGCCTTCAGTCCTAGACCAGACAGTTTGGAGCATGTTTATTTCAAAACAGTAGTCAATTAATTTATCCATATTTCATGTATTCCATAATAAGTCATATTTTCTATCACTTTCAATAATCAAATACTCATATGTAGAAAAGGCTAAGAAATATAAAAATTCACCTTAATTTTTGTTTTTTTAAACAATGCAATGCTTTTAAAATTCAAATATGAATTAAATCTGTGAATGGTTTCTTAAGGAAAATGCAATAGAATTTCAAACAAAGTACAAAAGCATCTCTGCCAATGCTTTTTAACATGACGCACTTGTTACATGCTGGCAGTTTTCAAATCACTTCAATCTTATGTGCCCAAAGGTCAAAATTCCCCAGCAAGGAATGTCAAATGAATAGAACTGTCCAAACTCCAAACCCACAGCAATAAACAGCATATACACACACGTATGCTACACATTGACATGCAAAATTATATTAGAATTTCCTTATTTGAAGAACAATATAGCAGCTGATGACATACCCACTGGAACCATGTCCTGGTACTGTGACCTACTGACGGTATTGAAGGTGCTAGATGGCCTAGGAAGAACTGGTGGCCCTGAATGTCGAGAGTCCTCTCCTACCTGTAAACAGAAACATAGTCACGTCCTGCCAAATAACTGGCGTCCTCCTCTAAAGCACGCCTTGGGAGTGTATGGTGTGTCAATTGGAAATAGCTTGTACATTCACAGAACTGAGTCCTGCAAATGAACAAGAAAAAGATCAGTCTGGGAGCTGAATTAGGGCAATATCCTAATGTTCAATTTTTAAACCAAGCTCCCTCCCCCTTTTATAAAATTTCAGCAGATGAACTGACCAGTTACCTTTAGCTAGGTTCCTAATGCCTATTTTTTCCGCCATTTCTATTTGGAAGCTATCACACAGGATAATTGGTAGCAGCAGCAAGCAAATGGACTTAGTTTAATTGTACCAATTTGAATTAATTATTTTATAATATAGAAACAGGTTCTTGAACTAGATACGCAAACATGTAAAACAATTATATTTTGAGGATCTGATTATTTTAGGGAGAGTTTATATCTTGTAATTTTTTTTCATCTTTATAAATACATACATTCTTCCACCAAAATTTCACAGAATACCAAATTATAAAGGGAAGCTATCAGAAGATGATTGCTTATATCATATTTGTATATTAATACTCAGTAATATATCCCTACTCCCATTCATTCAAAGACTCTTATAAATTTTAATGTATTATATCATTTAACTTTTTGGAATATTCTAAAGGTCAAAGGTAGTGTGTCTAGCTGGAAAGGCTCATATGTCTTTTTTCACAGTGACTTACTGTAAATTCTAGGGTTTGTATAATGAGGTCAGTCACTGCCTTTGTGAGATCAATCACTACCCATGGTTTTTATTAACCAGGATGAAGGTACTATTTAAAGACACCAATGACAGACATTAGGTTTTTCTTTTGCAAGTAGGGAGCTATGTGTCATCATTCTTAGAACTAGAAATAAGACCTGTCCCCAATTCCTCATTTCTTGAAATCAGACCCAGTCAACAGACAAATTGGCATCAGACATAACACAGGATGTACCTCCTACCACCAATTAGACAGTAGGCATTTCCTATGAAGGTTTAACAATATTGTAGATAAAGGGTGAACTTTAGGAGGGGTGAGCTCTGCTACACCCATATATCTTTCTTTCACAAGAAATCTTCAGACAATGTTAATGATTGTTTCAGCATCTCTTCCTGAAATTGGGTTCACTGGGCTATCATAATACTTTAGATTCTGCGAAAATAATTATAAAAGGGATTTTAGGGACAGTTCTCACTTTTATTTGTGGCTTCCCTGAAAATGGGTCGTTTTGAATAGTCCTGAGAACCATTTGCTTAATGAGAACTGAAAAATAAGGTGAGTTTGCTGAAGGACAACGTGAGGTCAGGCATAGTAGATTCTACCCGTTTATCAAGTACCAGGTCCAAAGGTAAGAGATTTGTGTTTGTAGAATGGATTATGCCGGTATCCTGCAATGTAGCATTACTAATTTACAGGATAGACAGAGTAAAGATTTATAAGTTACTCTTGAGCTATAAATACCGAGCATATCAAGCATCTACAAATTTTATATGAGCTTCACATAAATATCTTTCCAGATACACACACACACACACACACACACACACACACACACACACGTACTCATGCATGCACGCAATTAGCAAAGACACAAAGCCAATGAAACAGAACTGGACTATGTGATGAGAAGGAGAATTACAAAAGAGTTAAACTCAAATGAATCAAATATAGTCATGGAGTTTCACTCTATTGTGTTTTCTCTTTATCAAGGAAATACTCCATCATCAATCCAGAATCTAAAGGATATCATGCTGGTGTTAAAAAGATACTCAGAATGCGAATTTGGCTGTCATCTACTAATGCTTTAGGGAAATTTTTTGAATTATGCATAATAAATGTAAAAACATTTGTTAAGTGCTTACTAAATGCCAAGCACATCTCATATAATGTATACAAAACCCAAACAATAAAGGCATTTAAGCTGTTGGGGAAGGACAGATGACATATTTATATATAAATATATATATATATATATATAATATATATATATATATACACACACACACACACACACACACACACACACACACACACACACACATACACATACACACACACACATATACACACACACACACACACACACACACACACACACACACACACACACATACCTGAACACTCCCTTTGCTCACGTAAACTGTCGGAGTAATAGTCTGTGACGTGTAATTAGGAAATCTGAGTGCCCTCAAGTGGTTACAATATGGCACTGCATTAAGAATCCACAGAAAACAGGTCAAATCCAATGGAATCAATAGAGTTATCAAAGACCTAGGGCTGGAAGAAATCTTAAGGTCTAGCCAGCCCAACCCCTTAACTGACTCCTGAGGTCTCTTCTAGCTAAATCTATGATACTATGAACCCATCTTCTTAGGTCCAGCAAGCATGGGACAACAGAGAACCCTCCACAGATAGATATACGTTCCAATTTTAAAGACCATCAGTGAAGGAAATTCCACAACTTTTGTTCTAGCAACCCTTTCCCAAGGAATTACTTCTTATGTTTAACTTAACTTCCAAATGACTGAAATTTGAAACTTTTGCAAGAAGTCTTTTTGGTTCTCCTCAATGGTAGAGATTGGAGAAATTATCTCCAATTTATCTCGTACGTAGTTTGTTTGTACAAAGTTGTTTGCACGTTCTCTTCTTCACTGGATTCTGAGCTCCTGGAGGGCAGGGACAGTTTTTGCCTTTCTTTATAGCCCCAGAACTTAGCACAATGTCTGGCACACAGTAGGTGCTCAAGAAGAAATTTGTGTTGATGACTTGAATGTATACTTCCTTGCTACCTTCAGTAGATATATACAACAAATGATTATGAAGCCATCTATGCATAAGGGTATATAAACAAAGATTGTGACCTTCTCCCTCCCCATTCCTCTGGCAAGATCATTCCTTAAAAAAAAAACCCAAAAAACAACTTTCACCATGTTTCTGTTTTCAGAAAACTGCTGATATTTTAACCTCGATTTTTATCAAAACACCTCACATTAAATTACAAAAAAAAAAAAAAAAGGAAAACATTTTTAGGCCATCTCAGCTTAAGCTCAGCCATATCCCTATCAGTTTTCATCAGCCATCAGGAAAGCCCCCAAGAAAACTCTGTGACTCACTTCACCAGCACTGTGGCTGCGCTGCCTGGTCAGGTGTTGCCGATGCACCAAAGCGCTCGTGGGTCTGCTGCTCTGCAGAGGGAGCCGGGGGTCAATGAAGGTGGTGGTACGGGAATTGTGGTCAACAAAAAAAGCCTAGAAGACAGACAAACTCAGAGTCAATGCTTGCTACATCTATGGATCTAACATTCCTGCAAGTAGCTAGCTCTCACATATCCTGGGATTTTGTGAATATACTTAGGATTCACTTCCTTAGACCTCTTTTATAATATCCTTCAAATCTTTGTCTTATTGTTAACATCTTTTTACAACAGGGCTTATATTATTAACTATATTAATATTATCATTAATTATATCAATTGTAGAATTTTTAATTTGGAATGGAACTTAAAGGTCATTTACTTCCACCCTTTCCTTTCACAGATGAAGAAACCAAGACCCAGAGAGGTTATGTGATTTGCCTATGGTCAAATAGCTGTTTTTAGTGAAACTCCACAAATTCTCAGGAGCATCCCTTTGCTGTATTTCTGGCTTTTTTCCTTTTTGTTCTGTTCCTACTGCTAACACCCTACTTTGGGCCTAGAGTCTAGGCCCTAGACTATTGCAACAGCCTTTTAAGTGGTAACCTTGTCTCTAATCTCTTAAGGACCCTTCACAATCCATCTGGCACACTGCTGCTAGGTTAATTTTCTGAAACTTGTGCTTTGATCAGGTCAATCCTCCCATCCCCTCCAAAACCCTTTATTGGCGTCCTCTGACCCACAGAACAAAAGTCTATAGGTTGTGTCCTAAACTCTTGACATCAAGGCTCTTAACAGAATTAAGCCCTAGGTCTTTTCTGTGGAGGGACTAATTACATATATTTAAAAGGCAGGATACCATCGTAGATAATAAGATTTGAGCCAGGATCCAGCATTAGTACTCCTCACTTAAAGAAAAATTAGTTTAAGTAAGTTTGCCATTATTGGGAAAAAATTAATTAAGCCACCCCAGATAAAAGGGCTTATCAGGATAACGCTAGTAAACTAGCAAACCACAATCTATAAATATGACAGAATGTGTCAGGGCAGATGATCTCAGGCTTTAAGCAGAGGGGATTACTTACTGCACCAGCCAAATATAAAAGCAATGGCTATTCACACTGGGGAAAATGATGTCACAGGATACTGTGACCACAAAGAGAAGAGTGTGACTAGGTGAATTCCATTGTGCTACTGGAAAAATGCTGCCTAAGAAAAAGAGTCTAACCATTCTAGATATTGAAATACTTTGTTCATAGAATGAAGCTCATTTTGATTTGTGATAAAACATCTGCAAACTAGACAAAAATGATTTTTTAAAAAGATTTCTGAGAGCAATCGCATGATTCTCACTGCTGAGAAATAGGCCAATTTAAACTATGATAAATTGAAGCATTAGGAAAGAGTAATAATCATCATAATGATGATGATAATTGACATTTAAGTAACTCATTACATTATGTAGCATGTTCACAAAGGGCTTTAAGTACATTTTCTCATTTGATTTTCATAAAACTTCCATAAGGAAACTATATATATTATTATTCCCATTTTACAGATTAGGACACTGAGGGTGAGAGAAGTTAAGTAACTGAATGTTAGAAGTAGGATTCAAACTCAGGTCTTCCTAACTCCAATTTCTGTACACTTTCCACTATAACAAGGTGTCTTTCTACACCAGAAATGGAAAAAAAACCCAACCTTTACACACACACACACACACACACACACACACACACACACACACACACACTTATCCCTTTTGTGCCACCAAGCATTGGATTCCAGGATATAAAGAATATAGCAAGTCTCACTTAGATGAGAAAGCATTCCTAAACCTCTTCCCCTCTGCTGTCAAATCTTCTGCCCTCATTAAAAGGAAACATAGGATAGCCACAATTTGTCATCTTAGATCTTCTAAGACTAGACCTACATTCTAACCCTTACCAACACAAGACACTATTTCATTTAGAAGGTAGGCAAGTACACTTAAACAGTTCCTTTCAGTCTTTAAAGACTTCTTCAATGGGAACTAACTGGTTCTCACACATGGATATTAGTTACACCTATTTTAAGGGAATGGGCATCCCAACCTCAAAATTTTACCTCCTAGAGTCATGGTCAGTTCTCATGCACTTAAAAAATTAATAACATCTCTTGACCAAAGGGTATGTTGTTTAATTATATTGTAAGCCACAGTGATTAAGAAAGAAGATGAAGTACTAGTACTAAAATAGGATTGTGTATTTACTCAATTTAATTTCTTTGAAATGCTTTTTGTAGAATGGTCATTTAATAGCATTAGCAATGTATTTTGAAAAACAACCACCTATGTAATTACTGGGGCTATGTATATAGGTCAAACATGATTTACAATCAGTGTCACAGTATAATTGAGTGTTAAGAAGATTGTCTAGTGTTCATTCTCTCAATAAAGCTTTGCTACAAGAAATTATCTGAGAACAGACCTAGAGCCAAGAAAATAATAAATTAATTTACCAAGAAAATAATTTTTGAAAATCTTGTAGCACTGCAGAAACACAGAAATGCTTGATTATTTCAGATGATAAAGTGAGAAAGTTATGAAGCTAGATATCTTATCTTTCTTCTCCCTCCCTCTTATCGTCAATATTTACTCTTCACACTCTCCCCTACACTAATTCCTACCCCTCTAAATACAACCATGCCCAAGTTTCTGCTGTCTTTAAATAAAACAAACAGGCAAAGAAACCCTGTCTAGATACCTGGAGCTACTGCATTTCCTTCTCCCCCATGTAGCCTCAGCTGCCTTTCCCACCCAGGCCATTCTCCTTTCTACAACACTGTTGTAAAGAGTAGTCCACATTTACTGCTTTTACTTACCATTTTAACCATAAAAAACTATGCACTCTGGCTTTCACCCTCAACACTTTAAAAAATTTTCTCTTTTAAAGATCGCTATACCTAGTGTCTTTTTCTCAGTCTTCATGCACTTCATGCACTACTCAGATACTTAGTAGCTGGGTGACTCTAGGTTAGTCACTTGACCCTATTTGACTCAATTCCTCATATATAAAGTTGCATGCTACTTTTGACACTATTTCCTCTTATTTTCATGGAAACTCTCTGTTTCTGTGGTTTCTGTGATACAGCTTGCTCCCGGTTCTTTCTTACCAAATGACTCCTTTCCTTCTCTTTCATTGGCTCATTTTCTGCATCTTCTCCCTTTAATGTGCTTCTGAGGGTTCTAATACAACAACAGAGTTCTACCATGAGCCTTCTCTCACTTGGCAATTGTTATCTATGGCTTCAACTGACATCTCTATAATGAAGATAACTAAAATTTTCCCTCCAATTCCAACTTGTCTCTAGATTCAGACCTTGACTTCCAAGTCTGCTAGAACTCTCCACACAGGTGTTTTGACACATTCAAAGCTTAACTCAGTTGCTTCTTGCCACTAAATCTATGCCCTCTTCTTGATGTTTTTATATATTTAAGCTATCACCAGCCTCCCATTCATTTCAAGGAAGTAGCCAGGGGGTACAGTACATAGAAAACTTAAATCAGAACCAGGAACACAGAATCAAATACTTGCTGGTTGTGGGAATCTGGGCAAATTGCTTACACTTTATCTGCCTCAGTTTCCTCAACTATAAAATAGGGATAATAATAATAATACCTACCTTTTAGGGTTGTTGTGAAGATAAAATAATATTTATAAAAAGCATTATAAACTTTAAAGTTATATAAATACTATCATTATAATTATATTATTATTCAAGAATCATGTTTTTCTTCTTTATCTTCCTTGCCCTTTATATTCAACCAGTTACTAAGTCTTTCTCTAGGATCTATCTTCTGCTTGTTGTCTTTACTGCTATTCATCTAGTTCAGGCTTTCATTATTTCTTTCCTAAACTATTGCAAAAGCTTTCTAATTAGATTCTTTAATTTGTTTCTTCCCAAGCTCACTAGATGGATGGATTCCCTCTATGAGTGCAAATTGTAACACATCCATATCTTCTAATCCTGTGTAATTCTTATCCATTCCTTTTCACTGATCATCTACAAAGGACCTACCCAACATGCTAAAGACCTTCCTTTAGGTCTTTTTATATTTTGTGGGAAGTAGTGCAACATTTGAGGTTTCCATCCCTTATTCCCACTATGTGACTGGCCTACTTCCTTTTTCAATCATACATTCCTGGACGAGCTTCATTAAAATTATACATCTCCAATCTAGATTATGTAAACAAAATAGTACTACCTTAAAACTGGAAAATAGGTGGAAGGAAAGACAAAGACACCTGTTATTAAAGTTTCATAAAAAATTTCAACCAATGCAAGTCAATTGCTCTCCATAATGAGGAGACTGATCCTTATTCAATGACCTTTTGTTCAATGATTATTTGCATCAAGGAAAGCAAAAGTCAGAAGATGTATGATTGGGGCAGCTAGGTGGCACAGTGGGTGGAGCACTGGGCCTGGAATCAGGAAGATCTGAGTTCAAATTTGGCCTCAGATACTTAGTAGCTGTCGGACCCTAGGTTAGTCACTTAACCTCTATTGGACTCAGTTCCTCATCTGTAAAATGCAGTCACACTAGAGAAGGAAGCGGCAAACTACTCCAGTATCTTATCAAGAAAATTCCATGTACAATGTCCATGGGGTCACACAGAGTCAGATATAAATGAATGACTGAACAACAACAATGCCTGGCAAGGGTGTTTGCCAGTGTCAAGGAGCCGATTCAATAGAGTCTAAGTTGGAGAGAGGTTCCTTATTGTAGGAGTTCTTAGCCTTTTCTGTGACACAGACACCTTTGTCAATGAGGTGAAACTTATGGACCCCATCTCAAATAAGGTTTTTAAGTGCATAAAATAAAATATATAGGATCAAAAAGCACATTAATTATACTGAAATAGCATTATCAAACTATTTTTAGAAAGTTTATGAAAGAATTCTTATCCTATAGGATGTTAGATTTCTTCAAGATATATTTGATGCATTGTAATGCATCAAGACCCAAAACAGTGCTCAGTCTGCTAGATAAGCTATATCATCATCAAGATGAATTTGCTCCAATTAGCCACACCAGAAAAACTAAATGGATAAAGAATACCCATTGCCTAGATT